ATTCACCGGGTTTTATTACATCATCTTTTTTAAGGAACCTGCTATCTAAGAGTTTCCTGCTTGCATCAAACAGCCTAACCTGAAATACAGACAGAAGAGGGACGGATAGCCATTTATTAAACCCCTCACGTAATCCTGACTGCAACTGGGACATTTTAAGATTTAGAACTTGTTTGGATAAATATCTGTACAAACAATTATAGAAGCCAGTTGAAATGATATTACTTGTTTGGATCAGTATGTTTTGTATTCAAAAATAGCTTGTAATCAAAATATCACTGCTATCTAAAGGTTTCCAGCTTGACCTAAAATATAGACAAAAAAAGGGGGAGTAGACCATATATTGAGCACTTTGTTTATTTTCTGACTGCAACTAATATCTGACTACTAGTAAGGACATTTAGTATTGTATTACCATATTTTGTATCCAAATAGCATGTATTCAAAATATTACTGTGTGAGTTTCTTCTTCTTTTCCGAAGGGGGACAGGGATCAATTTTCATTAATATTTAAGCTAATCCAAGTGTGCCATTGATCACAATACAAGAAGAAAAAACAAACAAACAAAGGATTCAACGTGTATGCAGTAAAATAACCTCACCAATCATATCCTGAAATCAAAGCATATATTGAACTTTTGATAAAAGAAATAGACGTTTGAAAGTTAACCTGTGCCCCCTGAGATCCGCATGAATCAAGTCCTAAAAAACCATCATGGTACTTCTTTGCCTTCTGAGTCATTTGACTGGTGTATAGAACTTGCCACTCTAATTGGATATAGAAAAAGTTCTAATAGTTAGAAGATAAAACTCATTATGTTCTACAGCATACTGACATGTTCCACATGTATCTCAACTTTGAAATTAAGAGACAGTAACTAGGCAGAATCAATGCTGCATTGCCATATTTTGCACCAGAATGACAGAAAAAGACAAATAAGGCAAGCAAAGCAGAGTGAACCCAACAGTGGTGAAGGAATGCATATCCAATTACTTACCATCAGTTGGTTTAGCTTCAATAATAGGTATAGCTTCTTCATCATTGGCACGGTCATATCCATGTCTCCGTTTCCAGGTTCCAGATTGGTCATCAAAAACAACTTTGTCCTTCTTCCTATTCTTAATGCATGCATAATAATACACAAAAATTCTCATCCGTATACACACACGTGCAAAGCCATGACCCAGATTCAACATATCATGCAGCCAACCATTACGTTTGCCTTCAAATATAATCTCCAAGCCAAATCAGTAACATTTTTTCGTACCAACCTACCACGAAACACACGTATCATATGAAGCCATCACCATTCGCAGCGAACCATTACATTATGCAAATACTCCAAGCGGTACCTGAAAAACAACAAACAAAATCTCAGCGAATCTTCCAAACGGTTACGCAACTTTTCACAACAACTTCTCTCAAAATATCCAATTCACCCTCAAGTTCTCCTATAAGAACACCTTCCTTCACTCTCAGAGACGGGGGCACGAATATCATCATCTTCATTTTTCTCAAACGCCAAAAAAACCTTCATTCAACCCAAACCTTCATTTGATTTTCATTCGCAAATCTTCCAAAAAAAAGACAACATCTCAACCTTCTTCAAATCACCCATACACCAAAAAACCCCAAAACGAAATAGATCCAGAAATCTAGAATCGAGAGATGAAGTAGAAGAAAGAGATAGAATCAAAACAAGCTCAAAATCGTGAACTACACAAACCTAATTTGAGACGAAACCCAAGTCTGAAACTTGAAGCTAACGAGTGAGATCGAGGAAGAGAAACACGATTCAATCCTGGAAAGTGTAACGAAATTCATAGAGAAGGTCCAAATGTTTTTTCATGACTTGTTTGATTTTAGGGGTTTTTTCATGACTTGTTTGATTTTAGGGGTTTTTTTCTTCTGAAAATGTATTTGGTTTAATGTTAGGGTTCTCTGAAAGGAGTTAAGAGGGAAACATGAAAAACAAGGTGGGAAATAGTTAGCCTCGGTTCATCCGTGTTTATGAGATAAAATAAATATATTCGAAAAAAAATAAAAAACCATTAGCCTCGGCTGATCCGTGTCTATCAGATAAAATAGATATATTCGAAAAAAAATTAAAAACGTTAGTCTCGGCTCATCCGTGTCTAATATTTAAAAAAAATAAAAAAAAACTTAAAAATGGATTTTTTGCGTTTAAGTAGCCTCGGTATCGTCAAGGCTAGTTAGCCTCGGTGTCAGAGACCGAGGCTAAGTTCGCAGCTTAAAATAGTTAGTCTCGGCTTGATCGTGTCTAATATTTAAAAAAAATAATTCAAAAATTGAAAAATATCTAGCCTCGGCCTAACTGTGTCTAATGAATTAAATAAAAATAATTGTAAAAGAAAAACTTTAAAATGGCTTTTTTTGCGTTTGAATAGCCTCGGTTTTGTCAAGGCTAGTTAGCCTCGGTGTCGGTGGCCGAGGCTAAATTCGCAGCTAAAATGAAGTTTTCTAGTAGTGTATGTTTTACATGTTTATGAACTTATGATTATTCATTGTTTATCTTGTTGAATTTGACTTTTTGTCTTGTTTTTGATGTTTCTCTTTTAGTACATCTTTGTACGTTCTCACTCATGCCTTCCATGTATCATATATCATCTTCCCCCTTGGTGGGTACTATGTTTCTCTCTCCTCATTTACAATGTAATAGCTTAGTTTTTTTTTTATGCTTGCTTGCTTGATTGTTAAAAAGATAAAATGAATCTAAGTTAGAACACATTTTCAATAAAAGGGACCAATAAGACTTGATTCAATGTCAAGTCATTTTCAAACTTATGTAACTTGGTTTGTATCTTAGGGTTCCACCTCTTCTCATCTCTCATTTTTTGATATTAACCCATCCTATCCTTGTATGGATTCAACCTTTGTAAGTTGATTGCTTCGCGCATCGCCATCAACCTACCTTGATCTATTCATCACCTTTTCTTTTCAAAACCTTTTCTTTATTCCTTTTGTCTCCTTGAGTCTAAAAACCTTGGTCTTATACCAAGTGCATTTTAAAACTCTTTTCTTAATAAACTTGGATGGTTGTGAAGAGGTTAGGCGAATGCCTTCTCCTATCCCGAGTGTTTGACATTACCTTTAGGGTTCACTTTCATAAATCACCTACTATTCGAAATCAAAACATCTTTAACAATAGAATAAGGTTCTCTTTATATTGAACTAAAGAGAGAGGATTTAATGAAGACTTCTTCCTCTCTGAGTATTAGGATACTCACTTTAGAGTGTGTGGGCTCGACACTCGTCTTTCAATACGAAGACGTGACTATATTCGCCACACCATTTTCACAATAAATCTTTTGAGATAAAGAATTGGGTACTACGCGCAAGAGGTTACTATCTGAGGACTTATTTCACCCCTAAATAAATCATTACACATCAAATGTGTCATCTTGCCTTGATGGTGCAAACTCTTTCTTTGCAAAAAGGACGTGCTACGTTTGTTCTATCGAAAACAGGTAACGCCTAAGACTCCAAGAGCGAGCTGCAAAACACCTAACTTCTAGAATGCGAACATTGGCATCGTCCATAAAAAAACACCAACAAACCGTAGTGTCACGACCTACGGATGCTCTTATTTTTCACTTCTTTCAAGTGAAGATACGTAGGCACAAGGGTCCCAATCCTTGGCGAGCACACTTCCATCTTTTTTCATTCGCAGTCCTCTGAACTACGTTGGCTATGACTTTCTCATACCTGTTGAGAATACGTATGCATAGGACCGTGAAGTCCTACCGAGTCTCCTCCCCCTTTCCACCTTCTCTTTTCTCTCATTCTTTGTTTCCAATCCTTCTCTCTCCTAGAACATTCTTAGAAAGCAATATCTTTTAACAAACATCCTTACACATGAGATAAACGAATGGTTCCCATCGAGTACGATGGATGTGGAGGGTGTTAATAACTTCCCTTCGCATAACCGGCTTCCGAACCCATAATTTGGTCGCGAAACCACATTATCAATTTCCTTTTTAGGGTTTTCTCGATGTTTTCCCTTCCCCTTTTGAAATAAATAAAGTTTGATGGTGACTCTCCTATTTTTCTCTTTCACCTCGACGTCGTTGCGTTTTTCGAGTAGCGACAATTGCATTTCGATTTCAAGTAAATAAGTAGATAGAGATCTTGTGGGTTGTGTTTTTTATTTTAAACAAAGAAGAAGATGGAGATCTATTGAAATATGCATCTCTTTTTTCTTTTGGATTTGTATTGAATTAACATGACAAAGTAAGTTTGCTATTGATTTTCTGCTATGTGTATTATGCTGATTATCTGGTTTTTCTGCTATTTAATTGTCTTTTGTTTCATACATGTTTGTGCTGATTAATATGGTATGTGTATTATGCACATATCTTTTCCATCTCAATAACAAACAATGAAATTTGACGGTGATAATAGAAATGTAACGGCAACACGATACAATAATGACGACTTTAGTATACTTACCAACATCATCAGGTATAATGTCAAACTTAGCTTCTGAGGTCTATGATTACTTTGTTTAGTTTTTATTTTCTTTTGATATTCTCAACAATCCATTTTTTTTTCTAGCTTTTATAACTGATTGCAGATATGAGAACATCACTTAGTCCTGGTCTTTTAGCATATGCACCAATCTAGGCAATCAATAACAGGTGCTAATTCTTTTTTCACAAAATATTTAATGTGTATTATTTATCATTAATGATACTCCTTAAGCTAGAATTAGAAAAAATTAACATCATAGTCTTTCATGGATACTTTAATTTGAGTTTTCTCTTGACATAAGTTGTTTCACTGTTTGAGATAATTGAAGAAAACAACTTATCACATTGGTCTTCTGTTGTTTTTAACTTATTTTCGTAAGCTCTTTAAGATAGCTTATGAGCATAATTTCAACATCATGAGTAAATAATAACATATCACATTTCACCTATGGAAGTATTGTTATTGTTAGTAATCAAATTCTACTTTCACAACAAATCAAGCCTCCAATTCAATTATCATGTATTGGCTTAAAATTTCTATAAGCAATAACCGCATAAAAGGGATCTGACCCTGAAAACAATCCAAAGAGCTTCTTGATGATCCAGCCAACCGGTGAGTTTTCTTCATCATTAGGTGCTGGAAGCTTTCTAATTACCTCTGGCTCTGTGAAACCTTCCACTGATTGGAAATACTGAACCACAAACTGAACCCTACTGTAACCTGTTCCTTCCCTCCATGCACTTATGGCTTTCTCATAAAACATTCTGTTGCTAAAACTCACTATGAACACCCCTCCTGGTTTTAGCAACCTAAACACCTCTGCAAATACCTGTGAATTTATTTTCTCTTTATTAGTGATGTTCAGTAATATTAATCAATTACTATATGGAAATGGTTTTTTGTTTTGTTTTTGTTTATATTACCTTTTCTGGTTGTTGGAGATACTGCACACTAACAGTGCACAAAACTGCATCAAAAGAACAGCTCTCAAATTCAAACACTTGATCTTTATTAAGATCCTTTACAACAAAGTTATCCAACCTTGGATTCTTCGCAAGCTCTTGCGCGTTCATCCCATGCCCAACTACTCTTTTGTATTTGACATCATTCGGTAGATGGCTAACCCAAGAGCTCATGAGATCAAGTATTTCAGTGTCTGCTCTTAACCTTTCTCTGTAAAGATTTGTTAGTGTAGAAATGAATCTGTCGTCAACATGAGTCACAAGGCGCGGAAACGCATAAAACTCTTTGTCTTGGTAAATGTTGAGTTTGGTTCTACCTTCTTGTGTTAGAACAAGACGTTTAATTTTGCCTGCTGATGCTTGTTGATTGGTTTGGTTGTTTTGGTTTAATGTGCTAACTATTTTCTTTGGAGTTTTGAGATGAGGTGCATAGATGGATTGCAGTTTGGTTTGCATTGTTGGAGACTTGGAGTAGGTATTGGTATGAAAAAAAGGATATGAATGAATTAACATGAATCAAAAGAAACAAAAATTTATTTGTGTATCATGTGTATTCTTTGGGATAAGAAATCAATGGATGTGAAATCATATAGATGTTTACTAGTTTTTGGGCCTCAAATAAAGTTAAAGATCTCACAATGTTTGATTTCGTCTATCTATAGTTGATTTCGTCCATTTTAAAATTTCGTTTATTGTATTTCATGTTAAAGTTGATATATGTATTTTTATAATCAAATTTAATTTAGTTTATTTGCTTCTATATTATAATGTTCACGTTAACTAAATTAATTTCAATTTCACTTCTAACTTCTTAAAAAAAGAATAATTAGTTAGAAAGGAGGCTCAAGGCTCAAACAGAAAACAACCCTAAGCTAAAAGTCTCACAAAAAAAATAACATCATTCTACAAACATCTTTCTTAACTCAATAAGACAATTTTCAAACCAAGAATAATCCTATATAACCATGTTGTCTTGCTTTGCCAAAGTATACCTTGGAGATGAACTCTCCTACTAAAAATTGATCCAGGCTTTTGATCCAAATTCGCCCCATGAATCGCTTCTACAGAACGTTTGTTGTCCACTTGAATCACAAGCTTTTTGAAACTTTTCTCCCAAGCAATCTCCAAACTGATTAGCACTCCCCAAAGCTCAGCATTATGGCTGCTACATTTGTCAATAAACGTATTGAAATCTCCCTTTCAGCTGTCATGCTTGTCTCTGAACAGCCCTCCGCGGCTAGCATCTTTTCTAGAATTAACAACCCCGTCTGTGTTCAAACAAATCCAATCTTCAAGAGGAGGTCTCCATTGCACTTGGATCTTCCTACGTACTTGTTGTTCACTTTGTCCTGCAACTTTCTACTGATATGGTACAGAAAGACATTCTCCTTTATTTCATGTGCCAAATTTTAGGGCATTATAAAATTTGGAGCATGATACGTCTTATTCCTCCAAACCCAAATGTTATGACACCCATAAGCCTAAATTGCAACCCAGGCAGTACCATTACTCTCCACCTGCTGCGTCATATTTAGCTCTAACCAGTCACTAATCTCTGTAGTCAAAAAATGATGTTTATTAAAATTATTAACCAGATGATTCCATACTTGCTTAGCAGCTTTGCAATCCCTTAAAGAATGCAAAGTTGTCTCAATTTGGTCTTCGCAATCATTACAATTCTTGTTCCTCAACTAGAGATGATTCAAATACACGTTGGTAAGAATGTCATTATGGAAAACCTTCAAAATAAATCTCTTTATCCGCTCTAGAACCTGCAGATTCCAGATGTCTTTCCAGAGCATGTGATTCACTTCCTCGAAGTCTTGATTCAAGAAGTCATACATACTAGAAATGGAGAATGAAATTCTGGCAAGCAGATCACAGATATCCTAAGAGATATTAAGATATTGATCTCTGCTAAAAACTAAACAAGGACAGAACATAACCATTCTGTTCTCTCGAAAACGAGAACACTCTGAACCATCAAGTTCAAAACAGTGTCATGACAGATGTTTCAAAGTCTGTCAAAACATGTACTTCGGAGTATAGATACAGATTGAATTAACATAACAGAATGAAATAAATAACACAAGATATGATTGTGAGGGCAAACCCTCATATAGCCTACATACTTGTGTTTTGATGATAATAAAACGCGATCATAGATGAATCAGTTTTCTCGAATGTACCTCTACAAAACAAATGCAATATTTCACCTCTCATATCCTTCTTATATCCATCTAACTTGTCATATTAAATTCAATATATATGGGAGACCATTGGTTATGACTAGATGCATAAAAACCACAAAAATATGTATTTTTGCAGATTTATAGGATTTGAGTCGACCACAGGTCGACGCATAGTCGACGCATGGATCAATGTAAAATCCCATCGGTCGGTGCACACCAACCTATGATCGACGCATACTGTGAAGACATTTCAATTTGCCTAAAACTGCAGGCTATGCGTTGATGCATATTCCTGCTATGGTCGACTGTTCGCTCGTTTATGCTGTTACTGAAGACTTTCCACTTTGGGTGAAAAGCTGTTAAGTTTGTTGACTTATTGGTTACTATACATAGATGATTTATGTTCATTTCTCAACAACAATTGAAATTTTGAGTCAATTGTACAAGAACAAGAAAAGTGAAATAGGTGCCATCAAATCTTTTCATCTTCATCCTCAACAGTTCACAACACAACAATTACACACAACAATTCTTGGTGTGCTTTGTGTTTTGTTCAAGGTGATAAGGTCACAGTTCACAACACAACAATTACACACAACAATTCTTGGTGTGCTTTGTGTTTTGTTCAAGGTGATAAGGTCTGAAGCCGTCGATTGGAAATCTGGTTCGGGTTGAGTTTGTGGCAGGTTTTTCTTGAATAAAACCTTGAAGGTTTTGTCCTCCAAGATTCGGAGAATTTGGGGGGATCGTCTCTACCAACTTTTAGCTGAGCGAAGGTGATTGAGAAGCGGAAGGTTTCTTCAATCTAGCAGCGGGAATCAGTGAAGTGTGCAAGAGAGTTCCGGGTTCGATTTGTGTGTGCTAGAGATCAGTCGGGCCGAGGGTTTGAAGAACGGAAGGTTATTCAACAAAGGAGATGTAAACGGAGGTCTACTCACAATGATCGAAAAACTTGATTCGACTCGAATCAAGGAACAAGGAGAGAAAGCATCATCAACATCAAGAGAGCTCATTTGTATATTTTTCTTGTCTATCCTTGTATAAACGTTTCAACTCTATAGGTGATATCTATTATATTGAGCTCAATTCTATTATTAGAATTGAGGGCAGACGTACCCCGAAGCGAGGACGGCCGGCGAAATGTCTCAACAAATCTTTGTCTCCTTTATTTTTCTACACTTTCATTTTTGCTTTAAAATTGAGTAATTTTAGTATAAGAAATTTTATCGAAATTGGTATTGGATTGAGTAAGTGCTTATCACTATTTTGAACTCTAGTACAATAGTATATTGTACAAGGAATCTAGAGTTACTTACTCAAGTCAAAACTCACTTGGAGTGCCTCGCACACCAAGTGTTTGATAAATTGTCTACACCAAGATTCACTTGTGTTGTTTACATATTTTGTGGGCATTGTGTAACATTGGAACTAGTCCTACTAATTAGTGGTAAAATCAATTGATAGTGTGACTAGTGTGTTGAATCTATTTGCTCATTATCATTTCCATAAGGATAGACGCATATTCGGTCTTCTAATAACGGTTTGTTATAGACGATACTTTTCCATGGCCACTTCCGCATATCAAATATTTTTAAAACCAATTTTTAATTGGTAGCGCCAAGTGATTTTTTTAATTGGGATCTATTCAACCCCCCCCTTCTAGATCCGTGCCATCGTCTAACAATGATGAACAGTTCGGTGCAACTTGTCGCTTGCGCGAAAATAAGGTGCCGGCACAACAGAAGAGTCGCCACCTTTCGTTATTTATCCCTCAGAGCGGGAAAGGAAACGATCGGAAAAACCTGACGAAAAAGGGTAAGACAAGGTCATCGCAACCATTGTCTGGGTTCGGGAGTCGGTTACGCAAGGGGAAGGTATTAGCACCCCTCACGTCCGTCGTACTCGACGGGATCCTCGCTTGTTTGTTTACTTGGACGGGTTGGTTTTATTTTATCTACCTATCAAGGCTGGCTGAAAAAGAAAAGAAAAATGACTCGGCAAAGCGTCACACTTTATGCCTACGTATTCTCATCAGAGAATGAGAAATCAGAGTTCACGTAGTTCGGCCTACGAAGGGTTATGGGGGAAGGTAGCTCGCCAAGACTTCACCATCTTGTGCCTACGTACTCTCAACAGGCCTGAGAGATCAGAGCTCACGTAGTTCGGGAAACTACGGTTTATTTCCTGTCTTTTACGAAAGAAGTGTTTTTTATTGCGTTTGCGATTTCAACCGCACTAGAGACTATGACCTGAGAGTGAATGCGTCACATGTCACCCAAAGGGTACCATACTAAACATCCAGACTGCGGGAAAGAAACTCTCCCACGATCCTTTCTCAGATAGCTTAAGGCTCGTAACGTACGAAAGAAATCATTCATGATTACTTGTATCTTAAACTGTTTTGAGATGAGAAGAGAACAGGCCCAACTAGGAGGGAGACTATCAAGTCCTACTATTATCATGCCATGGATTCATCCTATGGTTGAGGTTTGAACAGGGAACTCCTAGAAGTTGTCATGCATAGGTTTCAACCTAAAATTCTATCATCAAATCCTTATCAAAGGAAATGAGAGTCCTAAGGGATCATGTCAACGATACACCAAAACAGACAAAGCATCAGCTTAACAGTAAAATGCATGCAATGCAAGTGAGGGAGGAAATGTGTGTGGGGCTTCAGCCTCCACAAGCTCGTCTCAACCTCAAGCCAGTCATGAAATAACAGTAATCATACTGAAAAATAAACAACATGCTATCAAGCAATAAACAGTAAACTGCAATCATACAGATAAAAGAAATGAAATTGCCATCAGGCAAACAAACCACATGGGCAAGGGAGCTGGGCTCTACCGAATACCCGCAAGCAAAGCCACGCAATAACAATACAAGCAGAGGGAGCAACTCAACCTCTAATGCAATCATGCTCCTAGATTCTACTTATTCTAGATGGACTTAATTTAATGCAACAGACAAATCAAGCAAAACACACAATACAGAAAAGAAAACAGAAGAAAGCCTCAGCTCCTCCAGCAGCAACTCAGTCTTCAGACTTCAATCATCAATTGCTTTCCAGGTATCAACCCTACAACATGAGTATCAACTCATCTTCTCCCTTAAGCTTCAGCTTCTTTGATCAGCTCCACCTTTAGGCTTCACTATCTTCAGGGATATTCAAGTATCAACTTGATCTTCATGCTCTTCAAGCTTCAGCTGGAATGGCAGTCTTCAAGGATTCATCCTCTTCAACAATCTTCAATGAAGTCTTCATCTTTATGCTCAAGCTCTGACAGCTCTCAAGACAAATCAAACAGAGAAAAATCACTA